ACATGTTTACTGGCAATAATAACCTCTTCTTTCACGTATTGAGCACAGTACGATCTTCCTGTCTTTTCCAACTCTTCTACAGTCTCGACATAGAAATCCAAAAGTGCTTTGTAACAATGTTTCATGTAAGGTGGTAGCTGGTCTGTGGCATCTAAATCCCACCTATCCATGAAAATATCCAGGATAAATACGTTATACTAGACATTAAATTAAAGGAATGACTGAAATTTGTAGAATAAATTTATTTAATTACCTGTCAAATGCATCTGTGAAAAGTGTAACTTCATCTATTGTTCCATAAACGTCATAGATATCATCAATGATAGAAACGAATGCAATTAATTTAGTTAGTATTTTTCTAGCAAGACAATATCGGGGTTCAAAGTATACCCCCAATATCCAAAAATAGCATTCCGCCGACCTATCTCTTGCAAAAGGCAATTTATTTTCCAACTCTAAAGTCTTCCACCACCTACAATATAAATAAAATTTCAACACATTTACTCATATATATGCATTCAATATTAAGCTAACAAAATATATCTTTAGTCAAACATTTGTTATTGTAGCTTAAAAATTAATTTGATACAAATCTAAGTCAAAGCGCACATTTCATGAGATTCACAACTTTATCGAGTTTTCAATCATATATTTCATCAAATTATATCAAAATTTACTAAAAATCTAATTTTTAGCTACACCAAATAAGGGCACAAATAAACTATATATATCTTCATAAACAACCTAACCTTGTAATGTCACATAACTCCTTCTGATGCATCTTCTGCAGTAAGTTGAAGTCCAGTTTCGCAAATTTCAATAATATTGGATTATGTGATTCATCTTCTTGATAAATTAAAGCGAACCTCTTCGCCCCCAGCCTTGTCAAAGTTTTGTGAATTGGCATCTCAAAGGCATCACTAACTTGTATAGACAAAGGATTGTGCAGATGGAGCACGGACTTGAGATGAGTGGTAGAAAACTTTAGTGCTTCCTCTAGAATCTCCTCCCCATGTACTCGAAATTGTGCAGCCTCATATAAGCTTAACAAGCCTTGTGCATTGCTAATCAAAGATTCATCAAAATTTCCTT